AACCACCAGCCTTCTGGTTAGCAGTCAAGTTCTTTAGCCATTATGCTACCAGAGCTCCCATATATATATATATATATAAAAGCAACCAAGCATATGAGATCAAGAGGACAACATTTGCTTAGGTTAGAGCTAAGAAGTCAGGAGGCGATGGGAAAGAAGGCTGAAGGGAAGGGGTGGGCACAGGGAGGAAGTGAGAAGAATGCCATCACAAAGTGGGAATTGCAGTAAATATCACAAAACAGATTGAATATGAATTGTTGAATGGAAAATCAATTTACTCCAAAAATTTTCACCCAAATCACAATTGAAAAAAAAAAAATCAGTGTGCCACAAAGATGCATACATTCTTTCAAAATACTGTGAATAAGTCATTGATTTGATGTGCTAAATAACTGAATATAGTTCATACTAAGCACATTTTTAAAATGAAGAATATATTAATCACCAGGAAACTCTGGGTTAGAATATAAAATGAACTTTCTTTGCAGGGTGTATGTGTGTGTGTGTGTGTACGCATGCTTGATTTTTAGAAGCATTTTCAAAATAATTGCCTAAAGAGGTAAAAAGTTGAAAAAAATATTGCCTCCCACTGATTTCCACAGAGACTGAAAAAAAAAGATCCATGTTAACATATTTAAAAAAAAAAAAAAAAAAAAACTCATTGCCATGGAATCAAATCCAACTCATAGTTGGGTTTCTGAGGCAATATCACTACAGAAGTAGATTGCTCAATCTTCCTTCCGAGGAGTGGCTGGTAGGTTTGAACCACCAGCCTTCTGGTTAGCGGTCAAATGCCTTAAGCACTACACCACCAGAGTTCCCATGTTAACATATAGCTCAAATAAAATGTATTAAGTGTTTTCTTTTTTTTTTTTTTTGCTCAAATGTCTTCTAATAAATTAGCTTTCTATGTATAATATTTGTGCTTTTCTAAATTTCAGTGTCATAACCTACATATTGCATTTTTTGCCATACTTAATAATGGAAAATTTGTATTCTTTAATTATTTTTTAATTAGGGCTACTTCAATATAAAATTCCAGAGAGATTGGACCTTCTATTTGTGAATCAGAATGACCTGAGACATATCCAAGTAGTAAGCTGTGATTTCTTTATTTCAGTGCCAATTTAGGTCTTAAAAAAATTAGTCGATGAAGAGGATCTCATACTAGTCCCCAATAAAGTTGTTGACCAGTGGGAATGGATAAGAGCAGAACAGATTTCTTGAAATAGCCTGGTACTTGATTATGCTTTGAATGAGCTAGTTTGGGATATTGTATTAAGAAGAAATGAGGTACATTATTTGTTCTCTTGCTTTTTAGCTAAGAATGAAACCCTGACATTACCTGCTGAATCTAAAACACCAGAAGTAGAAAAAATTCCAGCACAGCCCATAACAGGTAATAAGAGTCTGATGTTGATTTTTGAAAGAATAAATAACATATTTTCCAAATGGCAAATGAGGTACAAGTCTGTATTTTTTTCATTGAAGAGTCATTTTCATTTTGATATTAATTTATTTTGATCTTAAGCACAAAACAGTAAAATATTCCAGGTCCTTAATCTAGTTGTTGGGAAGACAACAGATGTAAAATAGACTATTGAGTCATATAAATGATGTGCAATATGGAAGCTATATTTTTACTTTAACTACCTCAGTGTTCTGAAATGTTTTCTATTAGTGTATAATGTCATGTTTTTGGTGCTTTCTTGTACTATGAAGTCAGAGACTAGCTTTCCTTTCTTTACTTTCTCAAGTGGTCAGTTTAGTGAAATGTGCTCTATCCCTTGCAAATCCATGGGTTGGTACCCATGAAAGCACTTTGGAATCATTTAGAAACAAATGTGTTGTGGAAGACTTAGGATCCTAGTATAGAGAATGTATAATAGTTTGGTAACAATACTTTAAAGAATAAATGTGGTATTTCCCCATACTTTATCAGCAGTTACTAACAAACATTCATCATTTCCTCCCTGGATAAGCTACACATGTCCAGCCCACTGAGGAAACACTTTTCTCTGGATTACAGAGTTCTTGCCAGAGCAATAACTTTATACCCAGGACTCGTGAAATGACTATCTGGAAAGAATTCCCCAAAATTCACATTTACCAATCTAAGTGGATATTTATTTAAAATTACTTTAACTTGCAATATCACTGGATGGAAATTGCTGGAGAAACAGAATACCTTGACTTCAAGAAAGCTTATCAAATAATATTTCTGACAGAGCAAGATGAGTATGGTCCTGCTTAAAGAGAAAGATGAGCCTTTTAGCTTCAACTTCATGGGGTTAGGGCTGAGGTAGAAAGCTATTCAAGCTGCTGGAATAATCCATTAGGATGAAAATTCCTGGGCAGTTTTTATTACTATTATCTCAATATAATTTGTCAGTGCCAAAACAAGCATAGGCATGACCCTGTTGGTGACTCCAAATTCTTTTCTGTCTCAAATATTCTACCCATTTTCCCAATTATACTTTCTTCTCTTGGCACAATGTCTGATGTGAGAGTCTACATATTTCTTTGTTCTCTGCCAGCCCTGCCTCAGAATTTTCCACTTCAGAACCATTTACATAAACATTATAATTTATCATTCACTGTTGCTGTGTTTATTTCCTATCCTTACCCTTCAAAATTCAGAAACTTTCTAGTTCAAAATTTACTTCCAATCCCAGTGACCTTGATTTTTATTTTTCCAAAACTAGTGAGCTGAGGTCTTCTTTGTCCTTTTACTTAGTACTTGGGACCACCCGGTGGCTGAACATTTGAATCCTCATTATGATTGCAAGCCAGTTTTGAGCTCTACATGTTGGCTTCTGTTTAGAAGAGAAAAATCTTGTATTGTCATGACTAAAAAAACCTGTTTCCCCCAAGGTCATTCTTTCATCTGCCCACATATCACTCCATTTAATAAACACTTAATATGTTCTTACTGTATCCAGTCATTATATTAAAGCCTGACTATAAAGAGAAAAAGGCAGAGAAATAAAAAAGTCATGGTGAACCTAATGAGCGTTTTAATGGAGTTCAGTTCAGTGTTCCCTTTTGAAGCAGACAGAAAATGAATGAAATGCAGTGAGGAATGGTCAGGGAGGAGGCCCAGCTTCAGTGACTGAGGCATGCTAGGGAGGAGGATGTACTTAATAACCAACTTGAAAAGAATGGACTACACAAGTATCAATTGTGAATTCTAAAAGGCAGCAGAGGGTGTCTCCTGGTCTTTGGTTGCTTCATCATTTTACCTTAATTTATAAAATTACTTTTTTTTTGTTTTTCAGTGACTCCTGAAACTGTTCCAAGAACCACTAAACCCACTGTGTCTAGTGCATTAGACATTTCAGAAACAGTACTGGGTAAATCTAAGAACTTCCCTTTCTTTGAAAAACAAAAAACAAACAAAAAATATCCTCACCTATTCTCAGAGAGGAGAGAAGTAACTTCAGTGTCAGCTTCTTCATGATCTTTCCCTACCCCATCCCCATATTCCTAGTAGTAGTTCACTTTCCTCTTTTTCGGACCAATTTTGCTTAAGCATTAACAACATGCCTTGATCTTGGTTACTGACAGTTTAGGCAAATCTGGATGCTAATCACTAACTGCACTCCCTTTATACAAGACTCTTAGGTTATATTCAAAAACAGAATACCAGCCTTTTAACCCCAAAATCTTGAAGGGGTGGGGGAACCTGGAAGTCTTGACTATGCTTTCTGCTTCGATTGGCTTTTGGAAGTCTTGTGCACACTAAACTTGGAGAGATTCCCTGAATTATAATCCCTATTTAAAAGAATTTTATGCCTCTTTCTTTGCTGTTTCCCTCCACTTAACAAAAGAAGCAGTGTGTATTTATTTAACTCTGCATTAATTCTTTCATGCCATACCACCGCCCTTTGAAAGTATGCCTTCAAATTTTAACAGCTGTGTAAAAGTTTTCCAAGGAAAATCAGCCATTTCCAGGAGTGGCATCAGCTGCTGGGTGCACACATGAGTCCTTGTTATAAAGCATGTTCTGCATGGTCATGGTTCAGCCACCGTGTCAATTCCTGAGATAAGGAATTACTAACAGCATTCTTCTTTATTATAGTTCACAGCGAAAAGACCCCAGAAACGTCACAAACTATTCTGGTACCTAGGTTTGAACCGCCACTGAGCACTCTAGGTAAAATTTATTTGACACTGCAACTTTATTATTACCTTGGGAATTTTATGCATGCTTGAAAGAAGTTCTTAAGCTGATTCATTCATATTTATCTCTTCCCAGGAAAGAAGGAAGAAATAGGCTCCCTAACACCCAAGCCCTTAAATACTTTAAAATCTTTATTTTGTAATTGAGGATCCTAAAGAGGCTCTCCTATATTACACATCCTTTGACTTTTTTCTTTTTGGTGGCCATAACTGATATTATGTTTGATTCTTTGAATTCAACATCATTGTTCTACTGAACAAATTGATATTTTCTATATTTTTCCTAAATGTTTTTATTCCATTGCCTCTTGACAAAGAAAATATATTTGATATTTCTGTGGACTGCCTCTTAGAATTCTTAGAATGTTTTTGTGTGGAATATAAAAAATATGAAGGGAAGTAGCTTAAGCACAAAGCCACGTAGTTACCAAAATTTTTGTTTGTTGGTTTGAATTTAAACAAGATATATCTAATAGCTTGCATACAGATAGCTGAAGAAATGAGGAAACTAGTTTAATAAGAGCCCCAATTCCTCAAATTTAGCAATTATTATTCTTTTAAAAAAAAAGAAAGAAAGGAAGGAAAAAAAAAAAGTTGGGAGGGGCTTTCTTATATTAATCGGCATTGAAACACAACAGTAAGAAATACTGCTAGTAAGTTCCAGCAAGATGGCGGACTAGGCAGAAGGATTGCACAGACCCTCTTCAACAAAGAAAAAGGAAACCAATTAACACAGACACAGAAGATAATCGTGGACCCCTGAGCCTTGAAGGGAAGGATACAGAATTGGACTAAACCCCAATTAGTAGAAGAATTTGCGTGAAAATACCAA